GGCGCCGTCGCGCTGCGCGACTTCCAGCGCCTGCGGGACTTCAGCGCCGAGCGGCTCTTGACGGAGCTCGAGGCGCTGAAGCGGTGCGTGGACCAGAAGTTCGGCAGCGCGGACACGCGCCTCCTCCTCGCTCCCCCTGCTGGTTAATACCCCTCCTGGTCCTCAGTCCTCGCTCGCTCTTGTCCTCGTCGCTCCTCGCTCCCTTCCCTTCGGATCACCTCTCCTCGTCCTCCTCGTCCTCATTATCTTCCTTTTCATCCTTCGCCTCTCGCCCTTCGCGCTCCCCCTCGCCAGTCTCCACTCCAGCCCCCTCTTCCTCCTCCTCCTTTGACCCCTCCTCCTATCCCTTCTTCCATGTGCACCGTCATTACGTCCTCTATGGAGCACGTCGCAAAGGCCTAATATTTGTTTACCTCCACAACCGTCCCACAGAACGCGCACACCTATGAGCAGATTCTCCTCCAGGACTGGCTCGACGTATGGTCGCTACGATGAGAAGAGGGAGGCACGATAGTGTACCCGATCGATATGGGGGAGTGGAGGTCGACTCGCGACAGTTTGAATCCAGCACAGGTTGATAATTTCGTTCGCTATGATCCTCGACCTAGGAACTTGCCCTACTCGATGTAAAGAGGCTTCGAATATTCGAGCACCGAAGCGTCGAGTTGTTCCTAATGGTACCGCTACTCTCGAGCTCTGGTGGCAATGCCTTCACCTTGAGAGAAGCATGGCAGTGCAACGCCCATGTTTGGGTGCCCCTCGAGCCTCAGGCGAGCCTGCTCTTTTTCCTAAGATATCTCTGGGATGCGTGTCACCGACATGGCCCCGCTTTAGTGGAGCACGTGCAGTGGCTGCGCCCTGGACGAGTCGGCCCAGCCTGGACCATGGGGAAAACGAGTCGTGCATGTTCGCCCCGTTGTGGTGAAGTCCTTATTCGCGGACCTCCTCCCCAACGAACTCCCACCCGAGGACTACGGTTTCCAGGAACCGCCAGAGAAAAGGGGCCACTTTGGCCTCACAGATGGTTGGGTGGAGATTGCGCAAGGCGGGATGGAGTTCCGGAGCCAGTCTCAAGGATATGAGCAACGCCATTGATTGCATTGCCATGTATGCTACGTTGTCAATTTTGGTCCAGCCTGAGAATTTGTTGTTTTGTAGAAGGCAGTATATTGACGGTGTTGCTTGGCTGTTGTTTTTTTCATAGTGATGAGGGGGAAATGGTGGTCAAGGCTGGATTAGGAGGAGTCCTGGGGGACGCATGTATGGTCGCAGCGTTTTCGGCGACGTCCCAACGCTCAGTTCAGCAGTGGACGGGGTCTCTGCGACAAGCTGATCCTGCTCTGCGTTGTCTCTGGTGCAGAACTCAGCTCTACGTGGCCTCGGGGCCTTCTTGACTACAATGCAACAGTGTGCACGGCTGAAAGCGACTGTTGCTCATTCCGTCCGGGTCTCAAGACTGGCCCGAGCCCGTTGGGCTGCGGGGTCGGGCCCGACGAGCGCGCTGACTTCGAAGGCGGTACTGAAACAAAACGTCGGAGAATCTGCGAGGCGCCCATCGACTTCGGCGGCCCGTCGTCTGACTTGGTACAAGTCTTGGTGTACGCTTCGCCTCCAGGGGGGGGTGCCAACGCGGGAAGGGTATCTTACCGCCGGGGTTTCTTTGCGTGCCCAGCGGGCGGTGGAGGACCGTCTCTGGGCTCAGGAGCTCCTGCCTGATCATGGTGACCTCCTTGGAATAATAGCGCCCCGTCCAGGCCCTCTGTGGAACTCGGAGGTTCGGTCCGACTTCGCCGTGATCGATGTCATTGCTACTCAGGCTGGCGTGCGCAGGTCCAGATAGGCCCCCCCAGAGCACACCGAGCGGGTTCCCGACAGCGTTCCCGAGGCGATCCATGACCCCGAGGGTTCCCAGCTCCTTTGTCCTGAAGGGGGTCACGGTGAGGGCTCTGCTACTAGGCAGGGCCTCATGGCTCACGTGCGTTCTCGGCGCAACTTACGTTTGCTGAGTCACGAGCTGGCGCCGTGGAATGCAAGCGTATACTGTCGGCAGGTCTTTGGGACAATGCATGTGTTGCGCGGCAGTCAGCATCTGCAGTGCGACGGGGGCATTGTCGCTCGGCCGGCATTCAAATCGAATGCGCGTCTCTGGCTTGCATTCGATGCGAGCTGCGGGCATTGATGACGTGCGCCAGCACCTCCGCGGCCGCCTGCCTGGCCCAGCACCCCCTCGGGACGCGGCGGCAGCTGGGAATTCTCTCGCCAGCTGATGGAGCCAGCGGGCTGGATGCAGGAGGCGTCCGGGCGCGGGCCAGATGTGGGCCGTCCGTCGGCGCTTCCAGGCCCGGCGCCCTACGCGGGCGACGCCGGGGGCAAAAGGGGCAAGAAGGGGGAGTGGGAAGTCATGGCGAAGCTGCGCCTCAACGACGCGCGCGAGTTGGCCAACTTCGCGGGGGCGGTCTTCCCGGCGGGGGAGATCGGGGAGTTCGAATACAACCGCTTGCAGATCATGGTTGACGCAGGGTCCAGGTATACCCCCCGTCTCCACCGAAATCAAAGCGCCAGCTCAACGGAGAGAAGATCGACTTCAGGGCGAGGGGGCCCCCGCGCGCGCGGACGCAGGCGCCGGGCACGCGCTGCGAATCCGCAACCGCAAGCACAAGAAGGGCAGAACATAATAGCAGGTGCAGGCAGGAGCTGCGGACAGCAGCCATGGTGCGAATCTCTATGTCAAGAGGGCCTCGACGCGTTCGCGTCGAGATGCGACTGGGCGGTTTCGACGGCGCGCGAGATGCCAATGCAGTTCCTGAACGGCGGGGCTGTTTCCGCGGCGACGCAGCGCGTCGGGCCCGCCGCCCCCCCCCCCGGGCCCCCTCGAGCACGGCGCGGCGCGCCTCTTGGACCATATCGAGAAGCAGTGATTGCGAGTGCAGGCGCGGCGAGGAGGGATGATCAGCGCCACCCTGGCAGTGGGCCGCTCGCATTTTTGGGGGCCCAGGGCGGGCCTCCAGACCCTTTCAGAGCCACCAGTTCTGATGCGCATGCCAACCCGAGACCTCCCCATTTCCTCCTTAGTTGCGGCTCCCAAGCGGGCTCCACACAGGGAAGGGGAATAGCAAGGGCCGCGGAGCCAGTCGTGGGTCGGCCCCCATCGGCGGTTCCCTCGCGCGCGCTCGCGCGGCGTCTGAGGGTTCGCCACCGTTCGGGGGCAGCGCGGGTCCAGCCATGGAGGGCCATCTCGCGTTTTGAAGGATGACCCGCTTCCGTTAAGTTGAATTGCGTCGAGTTATTCGCCAGTTTTTTGGTCTGAAGTTGTGTAGTTCATGTGAGTTTCCCGCGCGTTGCTTGTTCCTCATTGCGCCTCCTCCTCCTCCCTGCCCCCATCGCTCCCCCCTCCTCCCTCTTTCCCCTGCTCCCTCCTTCCTCTCCCTGCCTTCCTCCTCGTGTCTGACCCTTTGGGCATGCAGCATGGATTGATATCCTCCTTCCTCGCCCTCCCACCCCTCCCATCCGTCTTCCCTCCTGCCCGCTCCCCCCCCCCAGCCCCCCGGTTGAGGACCGTCTTTGGGCCTTGCCCGTGAGGACCACCTTTAGGCTTCACACCCCGCGCAGCTTCCATCTTAGGGGCAACAGACACCAGAGGGGGCCGAGGCCGTCCTTTCGGTCCTTCGGCCAACGAAGGCAGCCGTAGGGAGGGGTGCCAACGTACCTCCGCAAGCCCGACCTTCATGACCTTAACGCGCCACTTGCCACCACGCGGCTTTTCTCCCTGAAGCCGCAAATGGGATTTATTCCTTGGCTGGCTGATTGTGCCAGTCAACGTCAGTTCTCTTTTGCGCTCTGGCATGTTGGCCGCCCCCCACCTCTATACCTGCCACCAAGGGGTGCCGAATCTCTTTCGCGCCCCGCTCATTCGGGTGACGGGTCGAATTCTGCCGCTGCGGCGTCACCTTTGGGGGTCGGCCCCGTTCCCCACCACCTAACCCGTGCTCGTCAAAGACATGGATTTTCAAAATTAGCAACAGGGTCGTGTTGGTTATTCCTTTTCTTTTCTTGGTTTCGGTCCTCGCTGGAACCCCCCTTTCTCCGCCCTCTCTCTGGTCCCTTGCCCTTGTTCCCCTCCTGCCCGTCTGCCTCCCCCCATCCCCGCTGCCCGTCGGGGCGGCGGCGTGGGGGAAAGGTGCTTCTCGATCCCGCTAGGCCGAAGACCGCACCCCTGCCAGGACAGCCCGCCTCATCCAGCCGGTCGCCAGCGAGGCATGCGCGGTTTGGGCATGATCTTCGCTGAGCCGCAGGCTAGGGCGAGGCATGCGCGGTTTGGGGATGACTTCCTATCAGCCGCAGGCTTATTTGTGAAAACGGCGTCGCGCCTGCCCCCCGTGGCCCGTCCCCCCCCCCGCCCTCTCCGGGTGGGGGGCGGAGGCGTCGCATCATTGTCCGACCAAGCCCTGCGTATGTCCTGCCTGTCGTGGCCGGTGCACGCGCGGGCCGCAGTAAGTCGCCCGCTGGTCGTCCGTGTTGGCCGCATCGGGTCGGCTCGCGGAGCTGCTTGCCGGTTGCCCGCGTTGGCCGCGTAAGGTTTTCGGCGCCAGATTTTTTTGCTCCGGCCGGGTCGACGCTGCAACGCAGCGCGACTAACGTCACAGAGTCGTCGCGAAAATTCGGTTTTGGCGGAGTAACCGCCCCAATTCCCGCCCCAGGTTTTCGCCGACGTCGCCGGCGGAAACCGTGACAACGCCACTCCCCCTCCCTCCCTTGCCCGTTCCGCCCCGTTGAATCTCAGGGTTCCTGATGCTTGTGCTGCCTGCAGCTCCTAGCACAGCAAATCCTCCTCTTTTTCCTCCTCCTCTTCCTGCTCCTCCCCCTCCTCCTTCACCGGATTTCGTCCTGGGACTCCTGACTCCTGACCTCCCCCCCCCTCCTCCGATATGGGGGGGGGAGGCGGCTCCCGAGCGGGGCCCCGCGCAGCCGTTTCGCCCACGGCCGCGGACGGGCCCGCGGCAATGGGGGCCCCCAGCGCAGAAGGCGCGACTCCCTGCGTCGACGCGTGACGATGATGTTCAGGAGGGAAAGAAACACACAGACACAATTAATCGTCGACTCCCCAGAAAATATGGGAAAATATGGGAAGTGGGGGGGAAGACAAAAACCCAGAAAATATAGGAAAATATGGGGAATCCTTTTATTTGTGTGTATTTATTTGTGTGTCCTGGGGCCCCTTCAGATGTGGCCGGCCGCGCCGTGGTGCGGGCCCCTCCGGGGAGGGCGGGCCCCAGCGACTGCGGCCAGCCGCACCAGACGACGCGCGGAACGCAGGTTACGCCTAGCCACCTGCCGCCAGGCGGCTCTGGATGGGGAGGCCCAGTTCCATCCGGCATGGCAGCCATGGTGGGGTCTCCAGTGGTCGGCGGCCTATGCGGAAGAGCCCGACATGTTCAGCTGCAGCGCTGGAGCCATGGCGAGCGAGAGGGGGGAGGCGAAGCAGGAGCCTGACACCCCCAACCACGACCCCGAGAGCAGCGTGTGCGAGCAGCGGGATGCCGTGATGCGCGAGAATGGGCGCGAGGCGTGCGTGCGAGAAGGGCGAGCAGCGGCTGCAACTGTATATGAGGCGAAGCTGGAGCCCACCATCGCTGGAAATTCCCCGTCGCTCCTCGTCGCCACGGCTGGATCGGCGAACGCAGTTTGCGAGAAAGTTGGCGAGGCGAAGATAGGACCCGACGTGACCAGCTTCAGCTCAGATATCGGGGCATGTGCGAAACGGCGATAAGCGTGCGTGCGAGCAGGGCGAACAGCGGCTGCAACTGTAGTGGCGGCGAAGCTGAAGCCCACCATCGCTAGACAATCCGCGTCGCCCCTCGTCGCCACGGCTGGATCTGTGAAGACAGTTTGCGGGAAAGCTGGAGAGGCGAGACAGAGCCCAACGTGACCAGCTACAGCTCAGAGATCGGGGCACTTGGGAAACGGCAAGAGGCGCGCGTGCGAGAAGGGCGAACAGAGGCTGCTCCTGTAGCGGAGACGAAGCTGGAACCCAACATCGCTAGACATTCCCCGTCGCTCCTCGCCGCCACGGCTGGATCTGCGAACGCAGTTTGCGAGAAAGCTGGAGAGGCGAATATAGAACCCAACGTGAACAGCTACAGTGCTGGGACCAGGGCGTGCGAGAAGGGAATGGCGAAGCTGGAGCCCGACGGCTGCGGCATCGAGGAGTGGCGGTCGCAGCTGGAGATCAAGAGGATCCGCGAGGCCAAGGCGGCACAGGCGGTTGCGCGTGCAGCGCAGGAGTCGGCGGCGGCCGCTGTCGCAGCTCACGGTCGTGGTGTATTTTTCCCTTCTGGACGATGTGGTGCCTTCCCGAAAAAATGCACAACGGAGGAACTCTGCCGCAACATGGTCGGCTTCCCGAGCTCGGGGGAGACGCCGCCGCAGCCAGATATCAAGGTGGGCGAGCTGTTCCGAGACTTCGCCGCGACCGCGGCGCAGATGGCCAGTTCCGCCCCGCCTGCACCCACTGCGGAGGAGCATGTTGGTGCGGATTGCAAGCAGATGTGAAGTTCGCGATTTCGAGCTCTTTGGTATCCTTCCAGTTCGCTGTCGGGGACGGGTTCCTTCGACTACGTGTCCGGAGGCGTGGCATGGAATGCATCGGCCTCGTGGAGTACTTTTTCTTCTGGGTTGTTCGGGCCTCCGAACTTATTTCGTGACTTCGTCAGTGGTCTCGTGTCGTCTCGCCTCCGACATGGGGGGGGCTGCTGCCAGTCACCAGTTGCCCTCGGCCGTTGGCCCTCGCGCTGGTCAGCTGTTGCCTTCGGCCGTTGGTCCTGCTGCTGTTCCTCAGCTGTTATCCCGCCCCGCGGGACAACGAGTGCGCGGGGCAAATTCAGTTTCGGAATCGAAATTGCGCATGTCGCCTTGGAGTCTCATTTTTCATGGAACCCGCCCCAGGACCATCAGGTGCCACCTCTTCGACGCGCGCGCCCCCTCCGTTTCGCTTGCCCCCCCCCCCCCCCCCGGTTGAGGACAGTTTTTTGGGCCTTGCCCGTGAGGACCGCCAATAGGCTTCACACCCCGCGCAGCTTCCATCCTAGGGGTTGCGTGGGTCCCCCCCGCACGTATGCGTGATGTCGTCAACAGACACCAGAGGGGGCCGAGGCCGGCCCTTCGGTCCCTCGGCCAACGAAGACAGCCGTAGGGAGGGGTGCCAACGTACCCCATACAAGCTTGACCTTCATGACCTTAGCGCGCCACTTGCCACCACGCGGCTTTTCCTCCTCCACCCCTCCTGCTCCCACCTTTTCTTTCTCACGGCGCCCTCCCGCCCAACAACACGTTTTCTCAGAGAGCCCACGCCGCGTCACCCGAACCAGCAAGCACCGACCTGCTTCGATTCGGGCTGAGCCTGGGGCGGCCTGCATCACCGAGTGCCCCACGCGCTTTTGCGACGGCCATGAGCCTCCGGGCGTGGTGCGGGTGGCCAGCGGGTAGCCTCCCGGTGCCGTCGTCGCCGCCCAGCAGTGAAAACGATGCCGATTTCGATGTTGGTGCGCCATTCCCGATCCAAGTCCGATCCGAGTTCTGATTCGTGTTGGTCTGGTTTGTCGCCGATCCGGCTCCGAAGGGGGAAGGGTTTGGGGATGCGTGGGCGTGGGTGGGGCGAGGGGTGTTTCAAAATCCCCACTGGCTGCAATGCTGGCCGCGTCACAGCCTGCAGTTGCGTGCAACGTGCGGGTGCACGGCGGCGGCGGATCCCCGCAGCTTGCCGTGGGAATGCTTCGACCTCCCCCGCAAAGGGCCGAGGGAGCCTGGCCCGTCCTGGCAAGGGCCTGTGCCCTGGAGGCGCGGCTGGCCCGTGTCGGCCGGCTGCGATGCAGGGCGCGGCGCGAGGCACGCAGTCCCGTCGGGCGTGCGTGGGCGGACTTCCCTTTCTGAATGGGAAGGGTGGGCATGTTGTGGTTGCCAGTGGTCTCTTGGTCGTTCCCGCTAGTCGGCGTCGCAGCCAGGGGGGAGGAAGAGAAAACGAGCGTTTTCCGAAGGTTTACAGGGCCTCCAGCTCTCTGAGAAGCCGCCCAAGCCCTCCTCGAGACCACAGAAGGCTTCCCAGAACACCAGAGGGATTATGTGAAGCCCCGCCGCTTTCCCAGAAGGCCTGCCCCCTCTCATTTCCCCATCAGACTGGACATCCACGCGAGCTGGTGTTGAGATGCTGTGCTTTCGTTATACAACGGCGAAGTCACATGAATCTCCCAGGCATAATATCCCTCGCTTTTCCCTCCCCCTCCTGGCTCCCTCAGTGCTCCTTTCCTTGATATTATAAACAACTCCTCCCTGTCGCACCCCGAGGCCCGTCGGAAAGGCTTGCCGGGAGTTTGGCTTGGTTTTTCTTCACCATGTTGATTGTGAAGCTCGAAAGCTGGCAACCGCTTCTCAGATGGGCGGCGGGTCGTTTCCACTGCGCCTCTCGCCTGAGCGCCAGGCACATCCGTTTCCAAACGATGGAAGGAGTTTCACATATTGAGGGCGGGCCGTTTTCAACAAGTGGTTTTCGCCATAGCGCCGCGCACATTCTTTTGAACAGCTTGCAAGCGCTTCGCGGATTGAGGGCGGGTCGTTTTCAAATGGTTGTTGTGTTTTGCCTTGGTGTCGCGCGCATTGGTCTTACCAAAATGCACGGGAGTATTGGATTGAGGGCGGGCCGTTTTCAAGATGTTGTTTCGCTTCACCGCCGCACGCATTCGTCTCATACATGTGCAGGTGTTTCACGGATTTAGAGCGGTTGTTTGTCATCTTGCGGTTCTCGTCGTAGCGCCTCGCACACTCGTCTCAAAACATTGCCAGCGTTTCACGGTTGCCCATGGTCAGCGCGCCAGACAAAAAAAAACACTCGTGCTCTGGGGCGATTCTCACCACCCACCAAACCACCCCAACCCAACCCGAAGGCTTCAATTTGTCCTCCATTTCCAGTGGGGGGGGGTCGGGGGACATGGGAAAAACACATGGAACCCGTACCCCCCCAACCCGAAATTCAGATCTTCGGGTTGGGTTGGGGTGGTCTGGTAGGTAGTCAGATTCAGGCCTGTCCGGGCGCAGCAGTTGCGTTGATTCGCTGTGTTGATGTCCCAAGAATGGCGCTCTGGCGCGATTCAGGATCATCAAGACGCTACACTTAGGTTGGCTTGTGGCGTTGGAGTCCCGATAATGATTTCCAACCAACGTGTTGTTGGGTCTTCGTTTTGAAGAGACGGTCGCCGTGTTTCTCCTCCCTCCTCCACCAGCCGCCGTCCATTTTTTGGCTTTGAGAGCAGGGCCAGTCCCTGCGAGCGAGCCTCCCCGGGACAGCTGCCACACGTGTCGGACCGACCGCCATCGCGCGTGGCTGGACGACAGTGACAGGTGTCGCTTCGCCTGCGCAGCCCCACGCCCCTGCGGGCGGGCGGGCCGCTGGGCCAGATGCCACGTTCAGACCGTGGTCCAGAGCCCGCGTGGTATCGTCGGGCTCGCTCACAGAGAGCAGCGGCGCGAGCTCTACTTCGAGTTCCGGCCGCTCGCACACCTATTCGACGCACATCGCAGTTCGATGCCCAAGACTCCAACATGGGCTACAAACGCCGCGTCCAAGGGGGGCCAGCCAGTGCCAACAGATTATGCCAACTGGCTTTGTACGCAGTGTGGCATTTCCAACTGACCATGATCACAGCTCTGCCACTGGTGTTTTCCACCCCAACGGGGCTCTCGACCACGTGGTGGACGTCATCTGCAGCCGATGCGCCGCTAAGGACAAGGAGACCGAGAAGCTGCCAGTCGCCCACCGCGCGGTGCCTCTAGGGAACCAGGAGGAGCCGCCGACGCATCCAGTTCGTCAGTGACAGCTACTCAACCAGGTGGCGCAGCATCGGAATCAGCGACCATTTCTACCACATTGTCCATCCTGCCTGCATAGCCCGAGACGTCGAAGGCACACGAGTGCTGGGTAGAGCCTCCCACGGGGGCCAAGGAGTTGGCCCGATATCGCACGCATATCAAGACCGCGCCCTCTTCGTTGGAGAGCCGCATTCAGCCGCCGAGCGTTGTGTGCCACTCCGTGCCAGCTGAGACCACTCGAGACGTAGTACGCAGTGTTTCTCTTCATGCGCATCCATGCTTGCTGGGCGCGGATCGAAAGGCACATCAGGAGAGGTATTTGGACAGAGCCCAGCGGCGTCTATCAGATGCCAAAACCGCGGAGGAGTCCACCAAGATCGCCCTCACCAAGGCCACCGGCCACCGCCATGCGCGAGGCCGTGCAGAAGGACTTTGACCAATCGTCCGGCTTGCTGACCCCTTTTCAAGACCTTCCATCACCAGGAGGAGAAGGAAACAGCAGCAGCAGCAGCCGCCGGTGCAAAGTCAGCTCAGACGGCAGCCAGCGCGAAAGCAGTGGGTCGCACAGTTCAGTTCGGCCACATTCCCATGGTGATCGACGCGCCACCACCCAGTTTCAGGCCGCCAGCACCGCCGCCGCCTCCGCGACCATGTCGTATCGACCCCCCAACGGTGATACGGTGATCTCTCTGCCCACCGTCATCACCGGGCTCCAGGCTGGCCAGCACGCGTTCACCCGGCAGCTTTTGACGTTGGCGCGCACGTTCGCGACTCCGCAGTTATCGCTACAGGCGGCGCCCCCTCAGACAGCCATCTCAGCGCGCGCTGCGCAGAGCGGACAACGTCCAGCCGCAGCCATGCAGGCCGCGGCGCAGCCCGAGGATCGGGCGCAGCAGCCCTCTGGAGCAGTCAGCGGAGCAGCGGAGCAAGTGGAGCCAGCTACCTCAACAGCGCCAGCAGACGCTTGAGGTGGATTTGGGATCCGCGCGGGCTTGCTCCCTCCAGACGGCCTGCCACGCATCGCAGAGGAGGAGCTGGCGGCGCTCAGGGCTGCAGGGTCTGCAGCCGCGACCAACGCCATAATTGGCAACGGCAGCAGCAGCGCCCGCCTCCATGGCCTTTGCTGCTCGGCTGCGGAGGGCGCAGGCCAGTCAGTCGTGCTCCGCGGCGTGCTTTTCCGCCCAAGCCTATGCTTCATCTCCGTGCCATTGGTTTTCCCGCTTGTGCGAGTTGCCTCTTGGGCAGCATTCACACGTTGCCTCTTGGGCAACATTCATTGTCTGACGGTCTTGAGTTGTATGTTTCGTGGATACACAATGCAGGACAATCACCGGAAACTTCGTCTGCCGCCTTTGCCCAACCTTCGTGCGCGCGAAGGTGCTCAGGCTGTTTTCAATGCTCCAACCGACGTACCTCCCCGACATGTTCAATCCAAAGTACATAAACATCGACAATATTGTAAAGCCGTTCTTTGTGCCTATAAGCTCATTCGTGCCCTTATGATGTACTTGACTAGGGTACCCCCTGCCCAACCCGAGTGCGACCGACGTATCCTCTTACTGGATCTGATCGGCCAGCGTTTTCCCCCCTTCTGCTTGACTGCTACGGTGAATCAGTGTTCTGCGCCTGGCCCACCGCGAAGCGCTTCATCGTCGTTTGTGTCTGTGTTTGGGGATGCTGCAACGTTGGAGGCGACCCAAGCCTTCACCATACGGGATGTCCCCGTTGTCCGTGCCCTTTTCTTCGTCCCGTCCTCCCTCTTAGGGCTCTGGTTCGCTTTCCACTTTTCTCCCCCGTTGCTGGGTGGCCCCAAAAAGTGACGCAGTTCTTGCCCACAGCGTTGCTCCCAGCCTTTAACGCCCCTCGTGCCCGCGGGCTCAGGTCTCGCAAGTGTGCTCACGATGCCATCCGCGCCAGATCGAGAGCCAGCTCGCGGAGATCAGGCCGAATTCGAAGGCTGTTCATCACATGATTCCACCCTTCTGTCTGGCGCCACATAGCCCCCCAGAGGGGTCGCGATTTTTTCTTGCCCCTGAACGGGTTTCTCTCCCAACGGTGTGCGGACTGATCCCGTCCCCTGCTTGTCCCTTTTTCCTTTCAGTAAGCGGCGGTCCTCCTCGTGCTCCTCCTCCTCCACCTCCTTCCTCCTCCTCCTCCTCTTCCCCGTCCTCATCCTCCTCCTCCTCGTCCTCCTCATCCTTCTCCTCCCCGTCCTGCTCCTCCATCTCTCCTCCCCATCATTTCTCATTCATCCCTCCCTCCCCCTCCTTTCTCTTCCCCTCTATCCATCCTTCCCCCGGTGCTTCGAGAAGCTCCTGGAACGCGAGCGGATGCTGCAGGGGGGCGGTTCAGGCGGCGCGGGCCCTCAGACGGTGAGCTACGCGGCCTTCCAGAAGGTGTGCACGCAGGCGAGCTTCCCGGGGGTGATATGAGGGGGAGGGGAGGAAGGGTCCTCTGATGCCCCTTGTTTGCAGTCCGCGCTGCCTCTCCGAACCCTTGCGCGCACCATTTGTGTCTCTATTGATGCTTTGCTTTCCTGGCGCTCAGCCGCGGCTGATGTGCACGGTTCGGTTGTCATTGTCCGCCGTGGAAGGTGGAAATTGTTTGAGCGTGTGCGTCGCAAACCCAACAAAAATGAGGCGGAGGTCATGCATGGTCCCGTTTCCTCCCTTCCCTGTTGTTTCCCCTCCCCTTCGCTCTATTTTGCGGGGTGCGTCCTCTCTCGGGCACCATGTGGCTTGCGGCCTTCCGTTTGGGCGTAAAAGGAAGCTGCCCTTTGTGGGCACACCCCTGCGCGGTGCGTTTGCGGGACGGCGTCCCACGCGCGTGGTTGCAGTGGCCAAGCGACACGCAGTTGGGCGCGTGTTGGGGCTTCGGCAGGCCAGGCTGGAATTGAACGTCCGTGCAGGTGCAGCAAAGGGAAGGGGCAATGAGTGCAAGAGGGTGGCCCTAAAAGGGTCTTGAACGGCCACCGAACTGCAACCGCGGCCCCCAAAATTGCACGAAAGGTGCATCTTTCTTAGCCCCCAAGTGGGCTGCCCCCGTGTTAACGAACGCCCAAAGGAGGCGTACGAGGACTCGATTTGGCCACGCGGCGCAGTGGCATCGCATTGGCGCCACGCACGATGTCCAACTGTGATGTTCGGTGCGTTACCCTTCGCGGCTCGTCCCCGACGGCGGCATCATGGCAGGAGCTGGTGGTTTGTGGGGTGCACCTGGCAGGGCACAACGACAATGACTTTGGGATGCGTACATATTGCTGCGCATCTCTTCCGAATGCACTCTGACAGTGATATCCGCCTCATGTCTGAGATTGGCGGGACTGCGAGCAGCAACCGTTGCACTTCTTCGAGCTTTTCCACTGCTTCGATTTTCTTCGATCAAAGGCCTTTTGCCACCAACGCAAGGAGGACGAGCTCGAGGAGGAGAAGGTGGTGCAGGCAGGCACATAAGATGATGAGGACGGCGGAGGCGGAGGATCGCAGAGGAGGAGGAGGAGGTGGAGGATGAGGATGGAATAGGAGGAATAGTTGGAGCAGTTGGGCGACGGCGGTGGAGGTGACGGGAACGAGGAGAAGGATATGGCTGTGGGGTAGGAGGGGGTGGATGAGAAGGCATAGTCGGCGAATGGTGAGGGAAGGTATGAACGAAGGCGGGCAGAAGGAAATTGTACGGGAAAGGAGTAGGTAGGGAGGGAGGAGGCTTTACGGAGCGTTCAGATTTGCTTCAATCGGCTTTGGGGGGCTCCAAGGGGGTTCTCCGGCGCCCTTCGGTCATTCATGGGGACGGCTCTTAGACGGGGACAGGAGGGGGCGGTGTAAGGTTGCAGAGCGGAGGGAGCGCGGGGGGAGTGGGAGGGGCAGGATGAGGGGGAGAACATGATTGTTTGATATGGTTTGCTTTAGCGCTTGATAGTGCCACCCTTAAGCGGGCTCTTCCCCAGCAGGGTGTGATTGGGCGTGTGATCTTTCCTCGCGCTCCCGCCGCACAGCCGCCGATGGACTGCAGTACCCGTGCAAAGCGGCCACGTCCCAGGTGGACACGCGCGCCATTCTGACGCCTTGCACTTGCCGTGTAGCTTGTGGCCATGAGAGGCCCTCGGCGGTCTTTAGGGTTCTCTGGGGGGATCGGGGGGGGTGCTGGATGGCACCCACAGGGGATAGAGGAGGACAAGCGCGAGGAGAGGAGGACTGATCAGGGGGTGACTGTGAGGGAGGAGGCGGGCAAGAAGGAAGAGGAGCAGGGCTGTCGCCCACGCGGGATATGATGTTGATGATGATGTTGAGAATGATTATTATGAGCATGATGATGAGGAGGAGGAGGAGGAGGAGGATGAGGGCTGGTCGTGGATGACGCCAGCAGCGCCGATGATGATAATGATGGTTGTTGTGTTGGTGGTACAGGTCGTGATGATGTTGATGATGATTATGATGATGACGGTGGTGGTGATGATGATGGTGATGTCGTTGATCATGATGATGATAATGTTGATGACGATGTTGATAAAGGTGATTAGAACCGGTGATGACACTGTTGATGATGGTGATGATGATGGTGGTGGTGATGATGGTGCTGATGACGTTGGTGGTGGTGGTGATGTTGATGATACTGCTTATAACGATGTTGTTGATGATGATGATGATGCTGGCGGAGACGGTGATGGTGATGCTGACGACGACGACGATGATGATGATGACGATGATATTGATCATAATCACGATCATGATGATGCTCATGGTGATGATGATGATGATCATGTTGACGATGAGGATGAAGATGAGGATGTTGATGATGATGCTGATGATGATGGTGATGCTGATGGTCGTCATGAATATTGATATGATGATGAGGAGCAAGTTGGCGATGATGAGCATGACGGTAATGACGATGCTGATGACGATGCCGATGATGACGATGATGGTGATGATGATGATGTTGTTGACGTTGATGTTGATGTTGATGTTGATGATGTCGATTATGTTGATGATGCTGATACTGATACTGATGATGATGATGATGATGATGATGATGATAGAAAAGATGCTGATGAGGTTGATGATGGTTATGACGATAATGTGGAGGAGGAGGAAGAAGAGGAGGAAGGTAGGAGAAAGAAGGCGGACGAGTCGGTGGATGGAAGTGAGTACGATGCGGGATGCAGGAGGAGTTGAACGAGTTCTTCCTCAGGAGGAGGAGGAGCAGGATGATGGCGACGGAGCACGATGACATGAGAGGAATAAGGAGTGGATGCGGGAACAGATCTTAATGATGATGATGGTGATGATGATGATGATGATGATTCTGTGATGCTGATAATGAAAATGCTGACGATGATGATGATGATGATGATGATGATGATGCTGTTGGTAATGGTATGAGGATGATGCTGATGATGTTGATGATGATGCTGATGATGATGAAGCGGACTGTCATGGTGGTCATGATGAGGATTTATGATAGGATGGTGATGGTGATGGTGCTGATGATGATGGTGATGGTGATGGTGATGCTGATGGCGGTAATGAGAATTTGGGGGCCGATGAGGAGAAGGCTGGCAATGATGATGAGCATGACGAGGATGATGTTGATGATGATGATGAGGCGGATGCTAATAATGTTGATGTTGCTGTTGATGCTGCTGATACCGAGGATGATGATGGTGATGGTGATGGTGATGCTGATTATGATGATGATGCTGCTGATGCTGATGGTGCTGCTGCAGATTATGTTGATGATGATGCTGATGATGATGATAATGCTGAGGAGGAGGAGGAGGCGATAATAACAATGAGGAGGAGGATGAGGAGGAGGGTATGATGAAGCAGGAGGGGGCTGCGGTGGCGGGAAAGCGGACGATGCGGGATGAAGGAGGAGCTGAACGAGTTCCTCCTCAGGAGGGGGATGGCGGTGGATGGGGGCGGAACAGGAGGAGGCTTGCGCTCAGGCGGGCTTCGTTGAGCAGAGGCCTGGCGCCGACCTCAAGGCCACCCGTTTCGTACCTGCCGCTCCTCATGTTGTGTTTGTTTCTTCTGGTGTTGTGTCTCCTCGTAACGATCTGCAAGGGCCCGCCCATTCCCGTTTCCCTCCTCCGTCACCCTTTTTCAATTTTGGTTCAAGGCATCCATTCAGGCGCGCACACAGGGTCCGCGAAACCGTGCCAGAATCCGTTTCCTGTCCTGCACTTCTTTAAATGCTGTTCCCTGCCTCGAGGAAAGTTGTGCCCGATAGTGATTCCCATTGTGATATCTGATTTTCTCTCGGCGTTGCTTCAAGGGGTTCAGCCGTGCCAGGATGGAGTTCGAGGGTTGCTTATTCGGATCAGGCAACGAGAGCGACGCTCACAAGAAGGCCAAACTCAGTGGCACCTCAGTTGCACTGGTTCCTCCAGGAGCTGGAGGCTGTGTCCAGCAGCCTGGGCAAGGCAGTAGTGGTGACCACGGTCTCAGCGAGAGCGAAAGAAGGCTGTTGCGAACCATGGCGGCTCAGACCAGCAGCCTGCTGACCACGCACATCACGCCGTTGACCGCGAATATCGACTTGGTTTCTTTGAAAGCAGATGCGAACGAGACTGCAACGAAGCAAGTGAATGGGAAGTTGACGACTCTGGAGGCTCGTACTTCCAATCTGGAGAATGGGCGCACTGGAGGCGGCACTGGCTCTGCTACTGGCGAACCCATTTCTGCAACAGGCCCGGCTATTTCGGACATGCCGCCGCCGTTCAGACTTCCCGTTGCAAAACAGAAACCAATGTGCGTGGGTGAGTATTCATATGGCGAGGGCACCGTACTTCAAGGTGAACTCGTGGTGGTTCTGAAGGCTGCGGGTTTCTCCTCATAGAACGGCAAGTTGGCGCGAGTCTACGCGGTGGGCTCCTACACGGAACGATGCAAGATAGAGTTCCCTACGAGTGAAGCGTTGTGGACCTTTCTGAAGGCGATGAAGGGTCAGCAGGTTCCTCGTGGACATGCTGAAGCGAGCAGGCCAGCCCACCCCCAGCGTGCTGGCCAGAGGTGTTTGTGGTATTCCATCGACAAGTACCCAGGGGAGATCCCGCGTGCGGCGAGGTGCCGTTGCGCTCGCCGCATCGTCGCGGATGCGCTGCATTCTTTCGACCCGCCCCTAAGCTCGGAGGATATCGAGAACGCCATCGACTCGGCGAAGGACATGGGCAGCGCGGTGCTCCTCCGTCGCTGCACCCCGAAGTTCGGCAACCCCGCCCCGCTGAGGTCTTGCGTGCGCTCGTTCCCGACGTTTATGCTGAAGGCCACGCCTAACGCCCAAATTGTCCTCGACGCTGCCAGCTTCGCCTTCAAATTAGGAGAGCACTAGGCCACGATAAATGATCCACCGGGGGCTTCCGGACAAAGCGTGGTTTCGCGGCGGGGCCCAGGCCAGGGGTAGATTCGATTCACGGTCCGATGTTGCGATGGGCTGGGGCGCCCGGGGGGTTCCGAGTCGCGGGGCAGCAAAGTGTTTCGAGGTTTTGAATGGCGAATGTCGATGGGCCGTTTTGCGCGTGCAAGAGTGCACGAACGTACAGCGCGATGCCGCTGCTGATGTCTCGGGCCACGCAGTCTTTTGTGGACCTACTTTTTCGGGGGCGAACGCGGAGGAGTGCGATTGTTAGCCATCGTGAGTTCAGGGCCTGGGTCAGTAGTCCTCCAGCTTTTGATGTCTCAGCTGTTGCTATTGCGCTTCTCTCCGCTACGCTATTGATCAGCAGCCGCCCCGAGCCATCATGTGCTCGCGCCAGCTTCTGGAGAGATGTCGACGCTTTGCAGTCTTTAATTGGTCGGGCGCCAGCGGGGCACAAGGTGCTCATATTTCAAGACTCTAACGACCCCCTTGCAGCGGCGGGGCAGATCTCGAGACACGCGGGGCCCCGCGCGTTACGCACCGCCAGTTGGAAGGGCAACTTGGTGCGCGAGATCCTCTTCGTACGTTCTCTTGTAGCGGCCGGCGCCTGGGGGGCCAGCGGCATTTGCCAGGCCGCCTGCATTTGCGACTACCAGGTAGAGCCTCGCCAGATCGATCATGTTTTAGTGCCGCGTAGTGCGCCGAGGTCAGCGCATTCAGTTGGCGCGAGACATGCTGCCTCCTCGAAAAGCGACCGCTTGCCGACTTTGTTTCGCGCGTTCGGGGCCCCGAGGCCGAAATTCGCGTGTCGGCCCGCGGCGCTGACTTGTTTTGTCCGCGAAGCCGATGCGTTGGTCCCAGGCGGACCGCGGCATGGGGCATGGGCAGGCAGTGCGATGAGGCTCTGGAAGTAGACGTCCCAAGCCACTGCGAGGAGGCGCCGCGCCGACGTTGCATGTTTCCAAGCGCGTGGTGCAGTGGTTTGGGACATCTACGATGCCAGGCATGTCGGCGCCATGCGACTGACCAACAACACGGCGGAGCTGGCAGGAGCAATCGAATCGCGTCTGTGGCTGCTGGCGCAGGGCGAGGGCAATGTCCAATCTACCATCCCAGTGGGGTCTTGCATTGAGGTGTTCTTTGACATGGCGCATGTCTTGGGGGTTCCCAGTTCCAAGTTCTCTCCCAACGCAATATTCTAGTGTCTGAGGTGTCGGCGCTGCTTTGGGGGCGCGTCAAGCTGTTTTTCGAAGTTCGGGCATTTTTGGGCGAAGGGCGGCAGGGGGGCCCGGGGCGGCGAGCTCGCTGACAGTTTTTTCCAAGCTCGGTGGAACGCCCAGCTCCGGGAATCGACGCAAGTGGCATGCAAAGCGTCCTTTCGTTTCCCTGACTGGCGCTCGGTCTGATCTCTCCTCCCGTCTTGCTGCTCGCGACTGGCCGTCTGAAGAGATTTCTTTCTTTGCCGCGGTGGCGACGGACAGTTGCCGACAGGTTCGCTCGGCTTACGCTCTGTTCTGCGCGGCCCCGTCAGAGTACTTACCGCGGCGGAGGAGGCGCTCAGGACAGCGCCGGGTGGACCCCGACTTGCGCGGGGCCCCCGACGGGGCCAGGGCTTTGGAATGGAGGAATGAGGGTGGAATGGAGGAACCAACCCTTTTCTCTTTCTTCGCAGGTTGTCGCTTCCAAGGCGGCCCAGTGCGGCCGCCCGCTTACTGGGCCCACAAAGGTGAGGATCCCCGAGGGCCCCCCCGGGTCCAACTTGCGCAAAGAGCTCCAACGGATGAGGGGCGGGGGGACCGACGTTGCACTTCGCCACCAGATCGGGCAGGCCACGGTGCAGGGGCGGCGTGCCCTAGCGCGCCTGCCGGCTGAGCGACGCCTATCCTCTGCGCTTGAGAGCAGGGGCGCGACGAAGGAGAGGGGGCAGATGAGTCCGGCGAAGGCGATGGAGGACGACGGGGGTAGACTGACGACGGATTGCGACGAAATGGGAAGGATGGCGCGTGCCTTTTTACTCTATCCTATTCTCAGACCCACAGCGCCGACCGATGCCGGAGTGGGTGCGCCAATGGTGGCGCAGGGGCGACCTGGCCTGCCGGCCGCCTGTGAATGCGCATGTGCTCCGTTCCTTGCTGCAGCGCATGAAAGGAAGAAGGCGCTCTTGATGGGCGATGTGGTGGTGGCAGAAATGCTGCAAGCTGTAAGCGGCGACGCGCTGGCCTTTCTGTTTGAGACGCACGTTCTGCGCATCATTAACCACCCCGCTGAAGATGTGGAAGCCCTGCGGGGCCGTCATCGCGCGATTTTACTCGCCGAGTTTTACGGGGCCAAGAAGGTCAATCATTTTCGGCCCGCTGCGATTTTTTCGGTTCTGCTTAAATTTTATTCGATGGTTTTGGGGCAACTCTCGGGCGCATCTGAACAAACAATTTGACAGGGCACCAGCTTGCCAACTGAAGGCCGCATCAGGTACACGACGTGGTGTCTACCGCGCGGTTGCTCGTGGAACGGGCCAGCGAGTTCGCTGTGCTTTTATGCCTGGGCGTAGGAGACCTTTACAAGGCTTCCGATATGGTGGATGACACCACGTGGATCGAATGCCATGCCCGACGGAACGTTCCACGGATTGCGACGGCGGCGAGGCTCAGGGAAGTCCGACGCGGAGCATCCAGCATGCGCTTATTTGGCTTGGATCCGACAGAGGGGAGACAGCGCGCACGAACCATGTCTCAAGGGGGGGGGGGGGGCGAAGCGCCCAAGGAATTTACCTTTTAGGTTGACGACGCGGTGGAAATATTTGTGGGGATATGTAAGAAAAAATCAATTGGGTCACCCTCGGAGGCGCCCTACATGTTCAGACTTAACATCTCGCAAACGGACATGAACAATAAACGTAGGAAAACGATGCAGGACTTGAAGCGATTTCCACTGATGGCGTTCGCTGACAGCTACTTTTTGCTCGCGGCGAGCTCGCGAATGTTGACGCGGATGTTTCAATCGTGACACGATGTGGTCCGCGGCTTGTGCTTCGTCGTTCGCGCCGAGGACTGTTATTGGGTGAATGCGGCTACCGACGACGCTAGGGGGATTGTCTTGGAAGGGGTCAGGATTCAGAGGATATCCAGGAGCGAGGGCTTTCGGCGTCTTGGGGCTCGGGTCTCCATGGATCACAGTGCGACGACGGCCGCGCAGAGAATGCTGAAACGTGCATGGGCCGCGTTCGCGCGGCATCGAGACCTGCTACGTGCCAAGCGGAAGGACTTGACGCGTCGTCTGCAATTGCTGGGGGGTTTGGTTACATCAGCTGCTTTCCTTTGCTCGGGTAGTTTGTTGTGTGCGCGGAGGCGGATTCGCGCGGCACAGTGTAGGATTATCAGCCTAATGTTGTGCTTGAGGAAGGGGGGGGGGGGGGGGGGGGCATCGTGGGATTCCAACAACGGGCCAACCGCAAGATTCAGGAGGCCATAGAGAGTCACGGCGCTGTCGCGCGGGATCGCCGCGTATTCATGCAGACGCATCGTTGGGCTGGTCACGCCGCGAGAATGAGAGACTACGCACCTGCCTGCGTCTTTCCGCAGGCTCTGCCCTGCAAAAATCGCGCTTATTTGCGCTGGGTGACGGCGACGA